CCGACGATGCCACTACATGACTGACATATTTTATTTATTCTAGGGTATATATCAGGTTTCTGTGTTATTTATATTTTTATTATGTCATATTAGATGAATTGTAATAGATAAATAAGCCGTAGGGTTGATATTAGGGAAATTATTGAAGTATTTTGTCATGCCTCCTGAGAGCCGGAATGAATTAATTGCATTTCGACTAATTTACATGAGGAAAATTGACTCTGCATACAAGCAAATCCAGATGCGAGCAAGGTCATGGAATGGATTAAACTCATGAGTGGAGGCTCTGCTGTACATAGTATTTATAGGTCCCAGCAGTGTTTTGGATATATGGGAGCATATAATAATAATAAATAATAGTAATAATAATAAGTTCCCTTAAAGCTTGATGTAAGAGTGTGTCACTTGTCTTATCTTGACAGTGGTGACATTTGATGAGCCTTCACTCTACTTGTTTTCACTGTTATACATAAATATGTCTGTCTGTCTAGCTCTCTGTCTAGCTTTCTGTCTGTCTAGCACTCTGTCCATCTTTCTGTCTAGCTCTCTGCCTGTCTAGCTCTCTTTCTGTCTGTGTGTATGTCTTTCTGTCTGCTTGCATGTTTCTTTCTGTCTGCCTGTCTCTCTTGTCTCAGAGAGTTACTCATGAATCGGCTGGTATTAGACATGATCACTATCTACCTGCACAGTGTAGCACTTTGTCTGGATTTTTTGGGTTATCCTAGGTAATTTATGTATAATTGTATTTACGTATGTGTTCCTGTGAGATAGAGACAGATATAGATATAGTGATAGATAGATAGAGACAGACAGATGGAGATAAAGACAGCCAATCAGTCAGCCAGCCAGCCTGCCGAAATTACAGTTTCAGAATTTTTTCTTTTTGCTTAGGGCATTAGTTATAGGACATTCTGGCAGTATGACACTTTCCTCTTAAGAGGGGAGTGTTAACATGACATGACATCAGTGAATCCTTGGTGTTTGCCACACTGTTTGCTCTAGCTGGTGCTCAATGGAACTGGTGCTCCCACAAGATACTAAGTGGTCCCAGATTTTTTTAATACAATGCACACCAAGTGTTAAGACCCATTCTATGCTGACCAGGCATCTTAGGCCAATCGTGCCAAATTTAGAGGCAGGAAAAATAAAATATAGATCTATGTTTGGAGTGCTAGCGGTAAGAATGTAGATCTATGTTTGGACACTTAAGGGGTTAATTTTATATTTGCTGCTGTTAGTTCCACTGAACCTCTTGGAATGTAACCCATTGTAAGTATGTAGGGATGGCCATATTCCTAAACTAGGCTCTGATTATAATGCTGGATTTCAGGACGAAGTGCTTCTCAACTTACAATGGGGGTTACATTCCAACAAACCCAAGTTGAATATGAATATGATATGCTGTAAGTATATAAATAACTAATGTTTCTGAATAATAAATTATTACTGTAATTAACTAAATAGCAATATTGAAAAGTAAATAAATGAATGCTGCTGCCTTTATGCTAGTTAATTATTTCAAGTTTCAATTCCAAAGTATTTTTTTGCACCATCGTGAAGTTGAATTATCCTAAGCCGAACCATCGTAAGTTGAGGAGCACCTGTACATTTTTTGTTTTTTCAGTATGCTGGTCGTCTCCCACCAAGGCAGGGTGACCCCAAAAAAAAAAAAAGAAACACTTTCACCATCATTCACACACAGTCACTGTCTATGCAGAGGCGAGCATATATGACAGATCAGATGTCACTCCAAACAGCAGATATCCCAAACCCCCACCTTTCAAGTGTAGGCATTGTACTTCCCACCTCCAAGACTCAAGTCTGGCAAACCAGTTTCCCTGAATCCCCTCACAAAATATTACCCTGCTTACACCCCTATCTACCACACTCACACGCTATGTGTCCAAGCCCTTTGCACACAAAACCTCTTTTACCCTATCCCTCCATTCTTTTCTAGGATGACCCCTGCCCCTCCACTACAGATTTATACACCCACCAAGTCATCCATTTTGCTCCATCCTCTCAAAATGACCAGACTACCTCGACAACCCTTCCTCAACCCTCTGAATAATACTTTTAGTAACTCCACGCCTCAACCTAATTTCCACACTACAAATTCTCTGCATAATATGTACACCACACATTGCCCTTAACCCTTTCAGGGTCGGCAGGTCCTCTCCTAAACCTCCTCTCAGGGTCGGAAATTTTTCAAAAAAAAAATCTTATGATATGATAGAGAATCTTTTCCCGATCATAATGACACCAAAAGTATGAAATTTGATGAAAAACTTACGGAATTATGCTCTCGCAAAGTTAGCGGTCTTGACGATGTTTACGCATCAGCGATTTCGCCCATTTTGAGCCCTATTTTCAGCCAATTCCAATGTACCAGTCGACAAAAATCATACCTATTTCGCTAGAACTCCATTTTTTCTATCGAATGAGTACAAGAAACCACCCATTTACCGATTTCTACTAGCCAATAACATGGTCAGAAATTGGCAATTTTGCCAATTTCACACAAATTTCAAAAGATGACAATTTCCAAATAGGGTCCAGAATAAACAAGATAGACATTCCTGGCACTAAAATAACATTTCCTCTGTTCATTACTCACGTCCCCATGCCTCTGTTACATTTCTTTTGCTTTCCACTTTGAATTTTTATTCTCACAAAAAATAGAAGATTTATGTTATGCAGACTACTGCATTCGTGTAGAAATGACATAAATAATATCAGTACACTTGTGAATCCCTGAATCCCTTCACAAAATATTACCCTGCTTACACCCCTATCTACCACACTCACACGCTATGTGTCCAAGCCCTTTGCACACAAAACCTCTTTTACCCTATCCCTCCATTCTTTTCTAGGATGACCCCTGCCCCTCCACTACAGATTTATACACCCACCAAGTCATCCTATTTTGCTCCATCCTCTCAAAATGACTACACTACCTCAACAACCCTTCCTCAACCCTCTGAATAATACTTTTAGTAACTCCACACCTCAACCTAATTTCCACACTACAAATTCTCTGCATAATATGTACACCACACATTGCCCTTAACCCTTTCAGGGTCGGCAGGTCCTCTCCTAAACCTGTTCTCAGGGTCGGAAATTTTTTGGAAAAAAAAAAAAAAAATCTTATGATATGATAGAGAATCTTTTCCCGATCATAATGACACCAAAAGTATGAAATTTGATGGAAAACTTACTGAATTATGCTCTTGCAAAGTTAGCGGTCTTGATGATGTTTACGCATCAGCGATTTCGCCCACTTTGAGCCCTATTCTCAGCCAATTCCAATGTACCAGTCGACAAAAATCATACCTATTTCGCTAGAACTCCATTTTTTCTATCGAATGAGTACAAGAAACCACCCATTTACCAATTTCTACTAACCAATAACAAGGTCAGAAATTGGCAATTTTGCCAATTTCACACAAATTTCAAAAGATGACAATTTCCAAATAGGGTCCAGAATAAACAAGATAGACATTCCTGGCAATAAAATAACATTTCCTCTGTTCATTACTCATGTCCCCATGCCTCTGTTACATTTCTTTTGCTTTCCACTTTGAATTTTTATTCTCACAAAAAATAGAAGATTTATGTTATGCAGACTACTGCATTCGTGTGGAAATGGTATAAATAATATCGGCACACTTGTGAAAGAATATTAGACTAACCAGTTGATGTGTATTAGACGCATGGCATGATTTGTTTACCTTTGAACTTTGGCAAAAAATCGAACATTTCTGCTACTTTGAGCTCAATTTCAAGGTACTTTTCATTGTGAAACCAATCAAAATCATCTCAATTTCCATAATATGTCTTCCATTCTATAAAATGAGACCAGGAAAACTAGAATACAACCATAAATAGCATACAAAAATACACTGCAAAGTCGCTGTTTTAAACCAAAAACACGGTCGGAGTTTTTTTTTTCTCATGCACTGTGTGCTGGAGGATTATTTTTATACTGTGCACACTGACCACATAGACTAATTCTTTCATATGTAGGCCTACCAGCTTTCTCTTGCTAGATTTGAAGGCGCTAGAATTTATGCGTACTAGTACGGCACCAACCCTGGCGTGCAAGCCATACTGGTACAGCACCAACCCTGAAAGGGTTAAACACATTTCCACTGCCTCCAGCCTCATCCTCGCTCGAGCATTTACAACCCATGCTTCACTTGTACATCTTTCTTCTTTCTTTCGGTGCACTGTTAGTATTCCACCAAGGTGGGGTGGCCCAAAGGAAAAAAACAAAAGATTCTCCTTTTACATTTGGTAATATATACAGGAGAAGGGGTTACTAACCTCTTGCTCCTGGCATTTTAGTCGCCTCTTACGACACGCATGGCTTACGGAGGAAGAATTCTGTTCCACTCCCCCATGGAGATAAGTGGAAATAAATAAGAACAAGAACTAGTAAGAAAAATAGAAGAAAACCCAGAAGGGTGTGTGTATATATATGCTTGTACATGCATGTGTAGTGTGACCTAAATGTAAGTAGAAGTAGCAAGACGTACCTGAAATCTAGCATGTTTATGAGACAAAAAAGGCACCAGCAATCCTACCATCATGTAAAATAATTACAGGCTTTCTCTTGTACATATCTTGGTATAATTCGTTCAGCTGTCTAACCTTTTTTGAGTCGTTGACATCTTCATACCCTAGAACCTGAATTATTGACTGGAAAGAACTGTTTCCTTAGGTTTATATTTTCAGTTTTACTTTACATTAGCAGGCATAAAATAAAATAAATTTTATACTTTGATAAGTGCTAAAATGCATTATATTTAAATCACCATAAAGATTTAAACTTATGATTATATGTTTTCAAACCATTGTTACGTAATTACTGATGTATATTATATGTACAAAAAATAAAGAAAGTATTTATCTATAAACAGAAGTTTACAAGATCAAATTCTATTATGTAATTGCAAATTTATTAATGTGTTGTGTAAATTAATTTGTCTCTTTTACAGTCATTGGAGCAATCTGTGTCTGATCTGCGTTTGAGCTAGACAAATGCTTCGTGTGCCATACTTGCATATTCTGCACGAGTTTCTTTGTTGGTTGAAATATTTGCAAGCTTCAAAACAATACAAGTGATGCACAAAGAATGTTTGGTTGTAAATGCTGGAACACTTAATTCATCTTTACCTCTTGAGATTTTTCAGTATGTATCAGTACAGTATATTGTTCCAGTTTTACAGTTCATCGTTGACAATTTTTTGTATACAGGACTTTGTTGTATTATTTTAATATTTTATATTTTGTTTCCTACTTGATTAATATGGAAAGTTATATTTTGAATGATTCCTAGTGATTGAATAATAATAACTGGATTTTACTTCCAATGCCTGAAACTTGATAAGATGCATTCCAAAAAAAAAAAAAAAAAAAAAAAAAAAAAAAAAAAAAAAAAAAAAAAAAAAAAAGAGGAAAGACTTGTTTTATTTCTCCTCTATCCCCCATAAAAAAATAGTACAGTAATAGTATTACTCATTGTTAAGCATTTGTGCCAGGTGGGAACTGTATGATTTTATTTTCATTTTTGTCAGCTTTTTTTTGCTGAACAAATATATTTAAAATGTCTTGGCTACTTCACTTTAAATGTGATCCACACAAGCACATTTACAGTAGGGCCCCTCTTATACGGCAGGTTAGGTTCCAGGCTACCGCCGTAAAGTGGAAATTGCCGTAAATTGGAACACCCTTTTTTTCCCCTTATAAATGCATACAAATACTAGATAACCAGTTTACACTAACATATATTAAGTTAGCAATAGAACTAGGCATCAAAAAACAATAAAAAAGTACAATACACACATAGTGCACTCATTATTTACCTTAAAATATTTATAGTCTTAATCTAGGGTGAGACAAGTAGTATTTATTGTAAGAAATCAAGTGTAGTACAGGAAGGCCCCACTTATACGGCGGGTTAGGTTCCAGGCTACCGCCGTAAAGCGGAAACCGCCGTAAAGTGGAACACCCTTTTATTTTCCTTGTAAATGCATATAAATGCTAGATAACGTATTTACACTGACATATATTAAATTAGCAATAGAACTAAGCATTAAAAAAAACAATGAAAAGTAAAATTACACACAGTACATTTATTACATACCTTTAATTACTTAATATGAATGTGTGAGAGGTGAGTGGCAATGTAGTTATTGAATCAAATCAGGAGATGGCAGACCATCATCCTCTAATTCTTCAACTAATTTGATTCGTTTTGGAGACTTGTGTGAGGCTTTTGAAGGGGTGTATGTTGATGTTGAAGGCTGTTGAAGGCTAGCTGTTGATGTTGAAGGTTGGCATGATATTTTCTTAAAGTAGGAAAGCATTGAACTTTGCCTCATGGATTTTTTTTTCCTTTCCCTTAAAATTTCTTTATAGCATGTAACATCATGGGAAAGGGTTGCATTCACTTTTGAACTTCGTTCAAAATTTGGATCAATTTCTTCAAAAATTGCCATTGCTATTTCTATATGGTTAATAGCTTCTTCCAAATCCTGGGTTTTCATTTCTTTAATGGTAACAGGACTATCATCAGGATGGATCTCCTCTTCATGAAATTTCTTTCTTTGCTCTTCAATCAGAAGAAGGTCTTGGTCTGTCAGAACCTCATCATGAGAGAGAAGCAATTCTTCCACATCCTCAGGCTCCACTTCCAGTTCTAATTCCCTTGCCATATCAACAACATTTACACACACTTCCCCCACTGGATTCTCAAAACCTTCAAAATCATCCATAAGTTCAGGAATCAGATTCTTCCAAACACCTTTGAGTGTAGTTTCATTAACTTCATTCCATGCATCTCTAATATTTTTAATGCCATCCAAAATTGTGAAACCTTTCCAAAAGGTTTTTAATTTATTTTCTTTAGGCCCAGGCATTTTATCACTGTCTAGGAAATTTACAGCCTTAATGAAAGTTCTTCTTAGGTAATAAGATTTAAAGGCTGCAATTACACCTTGGTCCATCGGCTGCAGTAATGAAGTTGTGTTTGGAGGTTTTAAAAGCAACATTTATCTCCCTGTACATACCATGTAGAGCTGTAGGGTGGGCAGGGGCATTGTCTAAAACAAGTAAAACATTAAAAGGAATTTTCTTTTCCTTGCAGTAAGCCTCAACTGTAGGCTTAAAATAGTCCGTGAACCAACTTATGAAAAGATTGGCAGTCATCCAAGCTTTCGAATTAGATTTATAATAAACTGGGAGGCTGCCTTTTGCATAGTTTTTTTAGGGCCCTAGGATTCTCTGAGTGATAAATCATCATAGGTTTTAACTTGCAGTCACCAGCTGCATTAGCTCCTAGCAAGAGTGTTAGCCTGTCTTTTGCAGCTTTGAAGCCAGGCATTGACTTCTCTTCCTTAGCAATAAATGTCCTAGATGGCATCTTCTTCCAAAATAATGCAGTCTCATCCACATTAAAAATCTGTTGCTTGGTATATCCCCCCACATTCTATTATCTCGGCTAGTTCAAGTGGATAATTTTCTGCAGCTAAATTGTCAGCGCTTGCAGCTTCACCCTGCACTCTGATGTTGTGAAGTTGACTTCTTTCCTTAAACCTATTAAACCAGCCTCTGCTAGCTGAGAATTATCTTCAGCAGCTTCCTCCCCTCTCTCAGCCTTCATAGAATTGAAGAGACTTAGGGCTTTGGACTGGATAATGGCTCTGCTTAAAGGCACCTTGTGACTAGTCTGATCATCAATCCACACCATTAAAAGTTTTTCCATGTCAGCAATAAGGTTATCACGTTTTCTTATAACTTTAGTGGTCACTGGTGTAGCACTTTTAACTTCCTGCAACACTTTCTCCTTATTGTTCACAACTGTACTAACTGTTTGACGAGCCAAACCAAGCTTACGTGCTATCTCAGCCATTGACATACCTTGTTCACTAAGTTTAATCATTTCTAACTTGGCACTTAAAGTAAGAGGCTTACGACTCTTCTTTTTATCACAACTAAGCTTAGATGCCATCGTCAACGAGAGCCAATTAGTTAACGAAGAGCAAACGAGAGATAACGAGATACACCGCGCTCAGACAGCGTAAACAAACTGAACAGGTTGTGGACGATCCTCGGTCAGGCGTTTGTGAAACTTTTACCTTACAATATTTTATTATTATTATTATAATAATTAAATCACGAAACAAATACTCTTACACTGTGTACAAGTTTGTACGAATTATAGCTATAAAGTGAAGGCATACGAAAGGAATATTTTTCTACAGTTATCCCTAGTACAGGTGACGGGCTAGAGAAAACGTAATTCTTCGACACTTCTACAAACCGTTTGGTAAACATCTCGTATATATTTGTATAAAATTTTTATACTGTGGGTGCATGTATCATGTTTGTGTGTTACATAATGTGTTTCTTATATAATTTTGAAAAAAATATCATAGATAGATAAGGGAAATGTCTATATTAACGTAATATGCGACATTAATGCCCCCCAAGAGATTATTATTATTACTATTATTACTATTATTATTATTATTATTATTATTATTATTATTATTATTATTGCAAACAAGAGTAGAGAGGACTCTTAGTGATTTTAATGTGTACCTACATGAAAGCAGTGTGTAAGTTTATTTAGGTACAGGTTATACATAAGTATAATTTTTCAGAGTATATATAAATTATGAAATAACTTTTAAAAACATTTGAAATTTTGGAGTTTCCAGACAAAATGGAGAGACTTAGTGCTTACTGAGCTCATGGAGAATGTAAACAAACAGGGTGGGGCACGGTGACCGTATTAGAAAGTCAGGTGGGGGGAGCCGTATAGCGAGTTTTGGTCATAATTTGAAATGTCCGTATTAGCGGAACGCCGTAAAGTGAAACGCCGTAAAGCGGGGCCTTCCTGTATGTATGGTAGTCAGCTGGGCCACCATACCAGGCCACCCCACTTAAACTTAACCCTTTGAGGGTCCACAGGCCCTCTCCGAAACTTGTTCTCAGGGTCGGCCAAATTTAAAAAAAAAAAAAAAAATTCTCATGAAAAGATAGAGAATCTTTTCCCGATCATAGTGACACCAAAAGTATGAAATTTGATGTAAAATTTATGGAATTATGCTCTCGCAAAGTTAGCGGTCTTGACGAAGTTTACATATCGGCGATTTTGCCCACTCTGAGCCCTATTTTCGGCCAATTCCAATGTACTAGTTGACAAAAATCATAACAATTTCGCTAGAACTCCATTTTTTCTATCGATTGAGTACAAGAAACCACCCATTTACCAATTTCAACTATCCAATAAAGTGGTCAGAATTTAGCAATTTTGCCAATTTCACACAAATTTCAAAAGATGCCGCAGCGCTGTATAGCTCTTGTGGCTTAGCTCATCTTTTTGATTATAATAATAATCAAAAGATGCCAATTTCCGAATAGGGTCCAGAATAAACAAAAAAGACATTCCTGGCACTAAAATAACAAACTCTCTGTTTGTTAGTCACATCCCCAGGCCTCTCTTATATTTCTTTGGCTTTCCACTTTCAATTTTTATTCTTACAAAAAATAGAAGATTTACTGTTATGCAGACTACTGCATTAGTGTAGAAATGGTATAAATAATATCAGCGCACTTGTGAAAGAATATTAGACTCACCAGTTGACGTGTATTGGACGCTTGGCATGATTTGTTTACTTTTGAATTTTGATAAAAATCGAACATTTCTGCTACTTTGCGCTCAATTTCAAGGTACTTTTCATTGTAAAACCAGTCAAAATCACCTCAATTTCTGTAATATGTCTTCCATTCTATAAAATGAGACCAAGAAAACTAGAATACAATAATAAATACCATACGAAAATACAGTGCAAAGCCGCTATTTTATTCCAAAAACACGGTCAAAGTTTTTTTTTTTCTCGTTACGCACTGTGTGCTGCAGGATTTTTTTTTATACTGTGCACACTGGCCACATAGACCCATTCTTTCATATGTAGGTTTACCAGCTTTCTCTCATTAGATTTGAGGGCACTAGGGCACTAAAATTTAGGCGTACTAGTACGTCAAAAACCCTGGGTCGTAAGCCGTACTAGTACGGCCGAAACCCTCAAAGGGTTAATATTCTATTGCATCCCAGAGTGATAAAATGCATATACAGTTTACTGTATATGCCTTTTTTTCCCCTTATAAATGCATACAAATACTAGATAACCGGTTTACACTAACATATATTAAGTTAGCAATAGAACTAGGCATAAAAAAACAATAAAAAAGTACAATACACACATAGTGCACTCATTACTTACCTTAAAATATTTATAGTCTTAATCTAGGGTGAGATGAGTAGTTTATTGTAAGAAATCAAGTGGTAAGTATGGTAGTCAGCCGGGCTACCATACCAAGCCACCCCACCTACACATAATATTATATTACATTTAAGCATCCCAGAGCAATAAAATGCATATACAGTTTAC